ACAGTTACTTGTGGGCTTAGGTGTTTGCAGGATGGGGGCCCAAGATGTATCCTGCTGCCCATGCTGTAGCCCGATGTGAATGGGATTTTAAGCAGTTGATGCCCTCCAATAAGAAGGTGTACATTCTAAATCCTTCAGTAGGAAAAAGAGGCTGCATTTTCTACAAAGCTGTAATTTTACATCTAGCTCTGGTGTAAATGATTGTATCAGAGTTGCATAGAATTAAATCCTGCAGCTGGATTTTGAAAGAGACTGGATAATTTTATGACCAATAATCATAGTTATGCATGCAAAGGAGTGCTGTATCTCATGCTCAGGTTGTAAACTGATTGCTCTGTGACTCTAGAAGGAATTTTACTTCCCATGGGCAAGGCTTCGCAATTGTCTGGTTGCATTACATATATATTGCTCTTGGCTGAGGTATCAGACATTCACTAGTGTCTCAGCCAGGATGGATGGCATCGGGACAAGTCAGTTCCTTAGACAGGACATGATGGAACCATGGAGCCAATATACACAGGGATATAAAACAAATTCTTGATTGACCTTGCTATTCAGCATTTCAAGTTGAAAAAAAAAAAACAAAGGCCCCTATCCTACAGTTGGATCTGTATGGTCGCACTTACAAAGTCTGCCGTAAGCCCTAGTCCAGCCAATACACACATGCATAACTTTACTGCCTTGAATAGCCCCGTTGATTTCAATGAGACAGCTCCTGGTACTAAAGTTAACTACGTGCATAAGTGTTTGCAGAATCAGGCCTTGATTTGTGCTTTGAATTAATATTTCATCTTTGATGTTATTAATGTTCTTTGAAAACCCCAATGTTGCTTATTTTTGTTAGGAAAAGAGAGGAAGAGAAAAAAAGGGAAGTTTTGAATAATCCTGTAAAAATGAAGAAAATCAAAGAACTGGTATGTATTCTTTCACAGAAATCAGAAGCAGAATTTGCATTGAATTGAGTGAGAGCAGAATTGGGGTCCAGAAGAAACACTCTTTAGAGTAGTGGCTCTCAACCTTTCCAGACTACTGTACCCCTTTCAGGAGTCTGATTTGTCTTGTGTACCCCCAGGTTTCACCTCACTTAAAAACTACTTGCTTACAAAATCAGACATAAAAATACAAAAGTGTCACAGCCACGCTAGTACTGAAAAGTTGCTGACTTTCTCATTTTTACCATATAATTATAAAATAAATCAATTGGACTATAAATATTGTACTTACATTTCAGTGTACAGTATATAGAGCAGTAGAAACAAGTCACTGTATGAAATTTTAGTTGGTACTGACTTTGCTAGTGCTTTTTATGTAGCCTGTTGTAAAACTAGGCAACTATCTAGCTGAGTTGATGTACCCCATGGAAGACCTCTGCGTACCCCCAGGGGTAAATGTTCCCCTGGTTGAGAACCACTGCTTTAGAGAGAGGAATTTTTTTATTCCCTGCCTCCTTTTGGATAAGAACAAAATAAGCTCTTTCATATAGAAAGTCTCTCAGCAACTGTTTAAAAAAAACCCAACCCATGGGCCATGTTATCTTTCACCTTTCACTTATTTGTTACATTATTGTAACAAATTATTTTCATTCTCCATTCTCTTGTCACAGATCAGCTATGCCAAGTCACAAAGACAGTGAGGAGGACTCAGTTGGGCTCCATAGTAAAAGTCCCTTGCCCCTTCATAAGAGATTTTGCAAAGTGTGTGTTGTCCTGAGACTCTTTCCATACAGAATCTAATCTTTGTGCAGCCTCCCATGATGGTGACTGTCTAACGACCGTGTGAGCAGCAATGATCAGCACCAAATTTGTTTTTTTTTTTTTTTTTTTTTTTTATTTGCAAAGCAGCTTGGAAAGAAAGGAAAAAAAGAAGAAGAAGGAGAAGAAAAAGAAGCACAAGAAACGCAGACATCAAAGTTCTAGCAGTGAAAGCACCAGCAGTGACGACGAGCAAAGCAGAGCGAGGTACGTTTGGGGGTTGTGTTTTTTTAAAAATCTCTACCCAGCCCGTTGGGTTTGCATATAATATAGGAGGGAAAAGAGTTCACTCTGTGGCTCTTAAGGTCCCTAAGGCGGCTTGCTGTGCTCCAGTTGACTGCACAGTCATGTGCGTTTGGGCAGAGTTGAACGTAAACCGCAACCTAATCCTGTTTCCTCCGCGTCTTGTTTTAACAGGAGTAGTTGGTATATTGTAGTTTCCCTCCCTTTTTGCTATGCCTGCCCCAGGTGCCATTAACGATAAAGATCACTGTTAGCACAAGATGAAAATTGCTAACCAAAATGTTACTGCTGAAATCCTCTTCTTCACCCTGCATTCTCATCCCATCACCCCAGTCCTTTGAATCCCTGCTCTGCAGTATCCCCATCTTACCGAAAGCCCATTCAAGCACCTTACCCTGGCCCTGCACGGTTTTGCCGCCGCCTACATCTCTGCTCTCACTTCCTATACTTTTACTTGTACCTATACAATCCTCTTGTTTTATGACTCCATTCACCTCTCTTGTTGCTCTCATGCTGCCCCTATACTTGGAATTATTTCCTTCTAATCTGTCAGCCCCCCCCACCCCCCCCCTTTTCAAATTCTTTTTTAAACCCCATTTTTATGAATCTGATATTTTTCATCAGTCTCTGCACAACTGACCCTCCCATCCCTGGCCTGCTATCTCATTTCTTGTGCTTTTCATTTACCTTCTCTTTCCCTGTCCCAAAGAGCTTATCATTTAAGAATGTCTTATTCTGCTTTTGTAAACCACTCGGATCATGTTGTGGTCCTGTGTTATCTTTAGTTATAACATGGTGATTTGGGGGGATGATACACGAACCGCCAGTATCATTGAGGGGACTACATTTTATTATTTTTAATATTTTATGTAGGGGAAAAACAAATTGGGAAAACACACTCCAGATACATACCTGTCATGTTAGACTGTTGGATAAACTCTGAAAGGTTTAATGGCTACAGTGGATAGAAGCCAAAGACCGTACTTTAATTTTTGCGTTTAGATCCAAGAAGATGGATAGTTCTTGGGAACCTGTTCATCCCAAAGTCCCAGGGTACGGCTTACAGGTAGGCACACGTGCTTCTCACAACGTACTGTCTGTAGAGTGTGCCCATGTAGCTGTTAGGAAAGCATGGCTCTAGAGATGACGTAGTGGTTTTAGGCTCTGGAAGAGGACAGTGAGAAAGGAGGTGGTTTTGTGGGTAAGCTCCCATTGGGACCAGAGATTCAAGTCCCATCAAGGATTTTGTCCTTCCAACATAGGTGCTGGAACTGGGGGTGCTGTCGCACTCCCTGGCTTGAAGTGGTTTCCATCATATACAGGGTTTACAGTTTTGGTTCAATGGCTCTCAGCCCCCGCACTATACAAGTTGTTCCAGCACCCCTGCCTTTCCAGGTGGATAAGTCAAGTTCCATTCCATTTACTGTGCCAGGGTCATATGTTTGTCTGACTTTATATCATGCTATTTAAGCACCTGGGGTGATAGAGTGGCTCCATTGAAGACAAGGATAAAACTCCCATTGACTTCACTAGATCCAGGATTTCACCCCTTGTCTTCCAGAAAAGGCCTTAACAACCTAGTTCTTGTGTGCCCGCTAAAGATCTAGTGGGGCTTTTCACAAGAGCAAGGATTTGCCCCAGTTGTTTTGGCCAAACGTTCTTGTCCCCTTACTGTTCTGGTTAGCTGCTGCACGCCACACCAGAAGTGGCTGTATTTTTGGTGCTCTATGTGTGTAGTAGTAAGTGCGTTGGGATGCAAGGCCCTATAGAAATATATGTTTCATCTGTCTAAAACCACTGCAGTGGACTATGTACAGAGAGACCTTCTTGTGAATGGATGGAGTTGTAGATGATGCCTTTAGCCTCTGTCCCATACATATGCATGCACTTTGCCTAGCCTAGCTCTTTCTGCCTAACCAGCACCACGCCGGGGCTCCCATGACTGTTGTGCATTTAATTGCTCTCTTTTGAACGATGTTCTCTTCCTAATTCCAGAGTAGAGACCCTGACCACAGTCACCGGCCTCGGCGCTCTCCAGCTGCTGGCCAGGAAAGAGCCACCCACAAACACCGAGACCGCGCTAGGTCAAGGAGCCGGTCCGGATCTCCTAAGAGAGACACTGGCAAGAAGAGTACAGAGGAGGAAGAGTCTGAGCACAGGTCAAGATCTCCTCCTAGGCATGGTGAACAGTGAGTGTGAAATCTTCACTTTGAAACAGATTAAAATAAAGGGCACGCATGGCTTCTCTCAGGGGAGGAGTTCTCAGAAGTCCGTTGAATGCTCAGCAGCAAAATTCCTCCTATTACCCCATCAGCCTGCTTGTAACTCCTTCCTAATGTTTCTGCAGCGTTAATTTCTCACACCACTTTATCCCAATGACTTGAAATTAAAGCTGGTGGAACTACAGATGCCTGGCTTTGCATCAAGTTCAAGGGGCTGCCTTTGTAGCTGTTGTAGAGATCTCCCAAACCACAAACAGGGCTTGGGAAGCATTTGATTTTATTTGGTAAATAAATTGTAATCCTTGAATTATCTCTTTATCCCAGAAATGAACAAGGAGATTCAGGGTAGGGTGAGACTAGGGTGACCAGATATCAAGTGTGTAAAATCGGGACAGGGGGTCGGGGGTAATAGGAGCCCATATAAAAAGAAGCCCCAAAATCGGGACTGTCCCTATAAAATCGGGACATTTGGTCACCTTAGATGAGACACACCATGCAGAGAGAAGTTGTTTAAATGTAATCATTCTTATGGTGGAAAGTTTTTCCAAATATTCTCACATCGCTGACACTCCCTTCTACTTCTAAATCCCTATCAACCCTTCCCCCAAAAAAGGAAGTTTAATAAAATCTTCATCAAAATTCCTACCCCAAACAGGGTTGTGACCCCATAGAGGAAGAACTACCAGAGACTCCATGAAATCCACTAAGGACTTGGCTCTTGCTATCAGTTTTACATGGAAGGAGCTCAGATACAGAGATGATGGGTGACCGTATAAAACCCTAAAATAGATTGTTAAAGGGACATTGACAATTTGGAATCTGGTCAGTTTTTTTATAAAATCGTTGCAGCCCCTGGTCTCCTTGCCACTCCTTGTATTCTTTCAAACTTCTTTTCCCCTCCTGTTGCTGTGAATAAAAATGACTCATACAAACAAGCAAAAGGAGAGAGCAACTATTTGGGAAATCAGTGAAAGCAAGTTTACTCAAAGTGCAGCCAAATGCACAAAATAAACGAGTGGAGGAATTTTTTTCCCCTCTTGAATCTCTTTCAAT